CTTCCCTTCCCTTCCCTTCCCTTCCCTTCCCTCCCCTCCCCTCCCCTCCAGGCTCCCCCTAGACCTCACACATGCTGGGCAAGCACTCCACCCCTGAGCCCTGTTTAATTTGAAATAAAATAATGAGTGCTCACTAAGTCACCCACACTGGGCCTGAACTCACTAGGTAGCCTGACCCTCCCATCTTGGCCTCCTGGGTAGCAGGGATCACAGGCCGGCATCACCAGGCCGGACTTAAAAGCTTTTCTCTTGAACGGTAATTGAACATTGCTATAACCAGATACAGCAGGAAGTACAAGTAACCTTTTTCCTTGTTCCTTTCTAGCCTGTCCACTCAAGAAGTCATAGCTGGAATGACAAATCATGTCAGAAGTCACCTGTTGCCAACAGCATTTGGCACAGGAATTACTGTCCTAGACGTGAGGTGAATGGTGTTTCCCATGCTCCTCCATTGACGGAAAATTCAAGTACTGTGGGCCTCAAACAAGTGATTAGTACTAAAGGGTTAAATCTTCCCAGGAAGTCTTCCATGGTGAAGAGACCAAGAAATGGTATGTATTTTATTCTTTCCAAGTGCTGGTGGTTGTTATGGGTCTCCTTCCTCCCGGGTCATAGGCCACCTGCCTGAGAGGGAGGAGGGAGCAGAAATGGCTAGGAGCAGGGTTCCTAGGGGTGTGGTTCAGACAGCTGTGAATACAGCAGCTATGGCATCACACAATAGATGCTCATGGTATGCTTTATTTGCGTTTGGCAGTACCATCCCATCACACAGATGGAAGCACAACACCTAACTGTCAGATGAGCAGCAGGGGAGAGCATTTGCAGGAAATGGTGTCAAGGGTCACACTTAAGAGAACTCAGTCAGGCATCCAGGCTCAGGGACAGCTTTCCAGATAAGGTCAGGCAGAGTAGAACATCCATCTTGGGGAGTTCTACCATTCTGTGGTTAACTCAGAGCTGTCCGGACATGGTGGATTGCAGCCTTAGGTAGCAGGGCCTTCCGACAGCTGGTCAGATTTAGAAATCTTTTCCAAGCCCAGGCCACTGCAGTTTCTTTGTTTTTTCCTGTTAGCCTCCCGGTTGTAGCTCTTATGTTTAGAGGTACTGTAGATGGTGGACAGTAAGACCCAGGCTCCTCAGTGTGTATATGGCGGTGTGGTTGTCCGGTACTGTTGGCCGAGGAGTTTTTGTTTTTCCATACTGCCACTTCCGTGTTGCTGCCACCTGGCCTGACCCAAGATCACACACTCATTACTGTAACTCATCGTGAAATCTGGTGGTGTAAATCCCTGCAGTTCCTTCTGCTTTTCAGAGTTATCATTTGGCTGTTTGAGGTTCTTTCTGTTTCTGTGTAATTTTTAGGATTCACTTGTCAATTTCTCTCTTTTTTATTTATTATGTATACGACATTCTGCTTCCATGTATATCTGCACACCAGAAGAGGGCACCAGATCTCATAACAGATGGTTGTGAGCCACCATGTGGTTGCTGGGAATTGAACTCAGGACCTCTGGAAGAGCAGGTGGTGCTCTTAACCTCTGAGCCATCTCTCCAGCCCTCAATTTCTCTTTTTTAAAAAAGGTATGGAGCTGGGTGGTGGTGGTGCTTGACTTTAATCCCAGCACTTGGGAGGGAGAGGCAGGCAGATCTCTGAGTTCAAGGCCAGCCTGCTCTACAGAGTGAGTTCCAGGATAGTCAGCGCTACACCAAAACAACTCCCCCCCACACACACACACACCAAGGTTGGGGGCGGCGTGCTATGGAGATTTCGTTAAATCAATAATTTAGAGCAAGTGGCACCTCAGTAGAGACTGTTGAGGACACTTTGGAGATCTCTTGTGTTCAATGTAAATATGTTGAATCAGTTATCAAATTCATCCTTATATTTTCAGGTTTTTGAACCTTTTGAAGATGGTATTTCTCCTTCATGTCAATATATAGAAATACAGCTGATTTATTTATTATGATTACTGTATGTGTGGGGATGCAGTTTTGCCACTATGCACCATTGGGGTCAGAGGACAACTCTGTCCTCTGTCCTTCCAGCTTCGTGTTGATCCTGGGAATTGAACTCTATTCATCGGGACTTGCACACTGAACAGCTAGCTAGCCACTGAGCCATCTCACCAACCCAGTGCAGTTGATTTTTATATGTTCGTCTTGTAGTTTGAAACCCCCAAACCCTGAACTAAGTCGGGTCCCTATTGCCTTTCAAACATTCTTGGTTGTGACCCAAGGAAATTACTCTTCAGGCTGCAAGTTCTCTTTGTGCTTTGTGTATGATTGAACTCCTTAGTGGTGGCGTGACTGTGACAGTGGATGCATAGGTCAACGTGGCCAAGTGTGCACTGGTGGCACTAGGCCCTTCTCTAAGGTTGCTTTTACCTTTGCAGAGCCAGACTGATTACTCCTGGCAGTGAGTATACTTATTGTTGTTTCTGTCATTGGCTGAGCTTAGGATGAATTTCTCCAGTTGCTGTCAAAGCCAAGTCCAGTGACATTTTAAACTTCCATGGAGGTTGTTGAAAATGTGGCCCCTGTGTCTTACATTTTAGGTTATATTGTGTTTGTGTATAAAATGCTTGAGGGAGTTAGAGAAAGTACAGGGATCTAGAGCCCCAGGCCCTGTCTCTTAGATCCTTGTCTCCACAAGGTAACAGGTACTGACTATCCACTGGGATACTGTGAGACACTAGGAGTCCCCAGCTAGCTGTGCTAACAACCTATTGTAATAAGGAAGTGAACTTGGTCTGGCCTCTGATGCTGGGGCTCCTATGGTATGCGTTTTCCTGTTCTTTTCCAAGGGCTTCTAGTGACCTGCATAGTAAGCAGACTTCACTTTTGCTAGGGATTAAGGTGAAGTTTACTGAGCTACAATTTTAAAAAATAAGGTTTTCTTTAAAAATGAATATTTTCTCTAGAATTTGGCATACCCAACCCTATCCTACCACCTTTAAAATTTTATTTTTACATTTATAATTATTATCACTGGGGGGAAGCAGACACGTGTATGCCAAGGTGGAGGTCAGAGGGCGTCTTGCAGGAATCTGTTCCCCCTTTCCACTGTGTATGTCACAGGTGTCAAACTCAGGTGGCCAGGGTTGGTAGCCAGCATCTTCACCCGCTGAGCTGTTTTGCTGGCCTTCCTGCCAACCTCTTATTGACTATAGGAAGTGTGCATTTAGGCTTTGGTGGGGTAGAAGCTGAGCAGACTGAGAACTAGCTAAAGAACTCAGTGCTGCAGCACTGTCCATGTTTGGTCTTGTGGCTTGGTAATAAAGAGCCAAGCTAGAACACAGTCACATTTACCTCAGAAACCACAACAGAGGGTAAATAGTTGCTGGTTTTATTGTGGTATTAAAAACTTTCAATCATTAATCATAGCTTTATATAAATGCTTCCCTCCAATTTTTTTCTGTTGCGCCCTAAAATTTGGAGTAATTTCGTATAAAATCACACAGATAACTTAATTAAATGTTAACTAATTTTCAAATTGTAAAACAGATAAAGTAATTGTTTTCAGTCTTTTTTTTTAAAAAAAGATTTATTTATGTATACAGTATTCTGCATGTATGCCTGCAGGCCAGAGGAGGGCACCAGATCTCATTATTGTTGGTTATTATTATTACATGATGGTTGTGAGCCACCATGTGGTTGCTAGGAAATAATGTGTCCTTTTTCGAGGCATAGCTTTCAAAAAACAAAAGAGGACCCAAGTATATGGCTCCCTGTGAGCCCTTGGCCAGCATGTGCAGGAAAAAAAGGATGCTTTGCCTTTAGGACATGGGGGGGGGACGACGACTGTGAAATCCAGGGCAAGTAGCCAGCAACAGAAGCAGCCCATGTGTTTGTTTACACATGCTTCTGTTTTTGTTTAGAAGCTCTGTCTGAAGATGACCTATTGAGTCAGTATTCCTCATTTACAAAGAAGACCAAGAAAAACAGCTGTGGAGATAACGCAGCTTTTAGTTCTTCTGAAATGTCTGCACCCATCCTGGATGACGGGACTGCTCACAAGACAGATGCATACACTCCATCTAGGACAAGGAACAAATTCGCAGTGTTTTTACGGAGGAAGAATGAAAAAAGTGGTGCAGTTGTAGTTCCGGGAACCAGAAGCAGGTATCATGTCCCCAGAGTGCCTTTTAAGCTGGGTGTAGCGTTATTTGCAGAAGCCTGTTGCATGCTTGTTTTCTTAGTTGCCTTATGTCTCAGTTACTTCACTGTTGCTGTGAAAAAAGTGCCTGGCAGAAGAAAAAGTAACCTAATGAAGGAAAGGTTTGTTTTAGGTCACATCCCAAAAGTGCAGTCCAGCATGCGTGTGGAAAGGTGTCAAGGACAGGAGACCCCTGGTCAGTCACATGGCACCCAGTCAGAAAGAGGAAGACTGACAGACAAAGCTCTGTCTCCTTTGTATTCGGTTCAGGACGCTAGTGTGAGTCATCTACTTCAGCCAACCCAAAGGATTCTCACGGGCGTGTCCAGAGGCTGCTTTCCTGGGTGACTCTAGTCCACATGAACCACCACACCTTAGTTCAGACCAGAGTGCGTTGTGGATCCCTCCCACACCGTTAGTTCTGGGAGCTGTCCATGCAGAATCAGCGTGCAAAAGGACTGGAGCTCCTGCGGATACACCGTGTGGTTAGAGTTCTGTTCTTAGGGTTCTCATTTCCCATTGTTTCTCCTTTTTTGGTATTTTGAGGAGCTGATGGTGTTGGGAGAGATGTTGGGCCCCAGCCCCTACGGGTTCTCCGTGAGTTGATAACCACAGATGCATCCTGTCTTCTAGTCCTGAATTACAGCCCGGGCCTTGCCTGGGCATCAAAAACACGAGCTCTTACACCTGGGGTTTTTCAAGCTGGGCGTTGGTGGTACACGCCTTTAATCCCAGCACTCTGGGGGCAGAGGCAGGCGGATCTCTGTGAGTTTGAGACCAGCCTGGTCTACAAGTTCCAGGACAGCCTCAAAAGACACAGAGAAACCCTGCCCCGAAAAACAACAACAAAAAAAAAACACCTGGGGTTTTCCACTGTGTCGTAAGTCTGTATATAAGTCTGCTCCCTCCCTGCAAAAAACACAGACGGACACATGTTCTCTTAGCACAAGCGACCAGACGGCTCGGTTTTCAATTAAATCTCCAGGCTTTCGCCTGATACTCGGATTTAGTCGTTGCTCGGAGGCCACAAGTGGAGGTTCCATTAGACTTAGTCATGGTGCGGGCACCACATGATGGTTCTGTCTTGTCTTAATTATTTTTATTAGTGTCAACACCTTTCCTATAAATATTTCTGTTTATCCTTTAGGATCTAGAAATACACTAACCAACACTAGTTGGGAAGGAAGACTGGGGCTTGCCTTAAACTCACAAAGATCCCCCCGTTTCTGTCTCCCAAATGCAGGGATTTAAGAAGCCTGGGCTCTGTCTTTTACCTAAAGGTTCACCATATAAATAACTTTAAAGATGTGTGTGTTACCATGATAAAATGTATATGCCTCAGCTGGGCGTGTGGTGCACATCTTTAATTCCAGCACTTAGGAGGCAGAAATAAGTGGAGTCTAGCCTGGTCTGTATATAGAGCTTCAGGACAGACAGCACTATGTAAAGAGACTCTCTCAAAAAAAAAAAAAAAAAAAAAAAAAAAAAAAAAAAAAAAAAGGATTAAAACATCAATTAAAATTCAAAAGCTTTTTGCCATCTTTATGTAAGACAGTAGATATTTGAATCTTGATAAAATACTTAAGAAGATCTTCTTCCTGTTTCTTGTTAGGTTTTTTTGCAGTTCTCCAGATTTTGACGACTTTGAACCAAAGAAAGCAAGCAGTCAGCCTCTAAATGAAACTGCTGTCCCAGGCAAAGCCACTACCAGCCTCAGAGCACCAGACTGTCCAGGCACTGATGGCCTCGGAGCACCAGACTGTCCAGGCACAGATGGCCTCAGAGCACCAGACTCTCCAGGCACAGACGGCCTCAGAGAACCAGACTCTCCAGGCACAGACGGCCTTGGAGCCCTGGACTGTCCAGACACAGACGGCCAGAAGCTGGTTGGCATAAGTGGGACACAGGATCCAAGTGCTCAAATCCCAGGCAGTGTGACTGTGTCTCCTGATGAGGCTCAGTCTTCTAAGACCAGTAAATTTGTAGACACTGTTTCCCCATTCTCTCTGGGGACACTTAGAAGTTGTTTCAATTGGTCAAGAACTCTTAGAGATTTTTCAAGAACTCCAAGTCCCTCTTCAAGCACTGTATTGCAGCAGTTCCGAAGAAAGAGCGAGTCCCCCTCCTGTCTACCAGAGAACTGTGCCTTGACTGACACGTGCCATTCAAAAAGTGAGATGTCAAATGCTAAGGCTCCACCCTTGCATGAGGTGGGCTGGTCCACACCATCTCGGGAAAGCATAGACTCTCTGTGCAGTTTAAATGCATCAAATCTTTCTCAGCCTTCCAGTAAGGATTCGGATTCAGAGGTGAGTCTGTGTCTGCAGTCTTGGCTTTCAGACTCAAACACGGGAAAAAATAGTGTGTTGATGAGACAGCTGAGGAAATTTTGCCAACATTGTAGAAATGAACTGGCTTTCTCAATTTTTACTCAAAAATCCTGTGTTTCTGGGACTGGAGAAATGGCTCAGTGGTTAAGAGCACTGGCTGCTTTTTCAGAGGACCCGGGTTCAATTCCCAGCAACCACGTGGCAGCTCATAACTGGGGTCTGACACCCTCACACAGACATACACACGCACAAAACATCAATGCACATAACATAAGTCATTTGAAAACATCCTTTCTGTAGAAAGCTTGCGTTTTATCCACTTGAGGGGCCTCTCTTTCTTTGTACTCCCGGGGTACCTACACTGGCATGTCCTGGAGGCCCCTCAAGTGAACCGGGTGTTCCACTGACTGGGACTGACTAGACCGTTGTCTTCTGTGCATGGTTGTCTTCTAATCAGAGATAGGCCTCGAGATGAATTGATACTATCAATTTACTGTTAATATAACTTCTAATTCAGCTAGCATTTCATAGCATATAAAGGAATGACTGTTAGTGTTTTCGTGTGTGTTGTATCTTAGCACTTTGGAAATAGTTTCTTATTTCTGATAAACTTCCTTTATAATAAAACTGAAGGGACCAGCTTCCCTTTCGGCAGCCATAACGGTTCGTTATGCAATAACGTAATAGCAATTTTCTTTTTTTGAAATTTAAAAGCATTTAGTCCTTTTACACATATATAAGACATTTTATTCTGACTTCAATTTCTTTTATTTCTGACTTTGATTTGGCTAACATCAAAACCTTAACTGAATATTGCTCGTAAACCAGTAAGTGACATTTTGACGTGATGTGACGGCTTCATAGCTTTCTTTAAATCTGTCACCTCAAAGTTGCCAATGCTGTTTATCTTCTCAGTCTGCCCCACTTGACACTGTTTGGTGTTCGAGGAGCTTGTCAGGGCTGCCATTGAGACTTCCGTCTTTTATTTCTCTTTCTCTTCTTTTTTTTTTTAATTAGATTTATTTATCTTATGAGTTTGCACATGTCTGTCAGTCTGGTGGCACATGCCCTGGGGCACAAGAAGGGTTCCGAGCACAACCCATGGGAGTCATTTCTATCCTTCTTCCGAGTCCTAGGAACTGAACTTGGGTTGCCAGCCCCTGCCCACTCAATGAGCCCCTTCACCAGCTGCCTTTCTCTCGCTTTGCCTGCAGCTGCTCCCTGTTTGCTACTGTCCTGTGATCTAGAAATCTGTTTCATTTCATGTGAACCTCTGCTACATGGAATGTTGTGTCCTAGGGCCATTTGAGTTACGGGGACAGTTAGCGGTTCTCAATCAGCAGCAGCTTTGCTGATGGAGGACATCGCAAGCCTGCCGAGCTCCTGGGGGAAGGGGAACTCTTTTCCTCCTGCAGCACATCTTTCTGTTTCACTGACTGTGTAAGCTTTCGGTTGAATAATGAGGTCCTCATCAGCTCACAGACTGTGGGCACCTCGTGCTGAGAGCCATTCTGTCTTCTGGGATAAACATCTTCCACCCTATGGTGCTGTTGAAATAAGTGCAATCCTAGCCCTAAGGGGGTCTGCCTGGGCTGCATTGCAAGACCCTCTGTCACAAACAAAACAAAACAAAAAAGGAACAAAGAGACTCCCCAAAATCCAAGTGATGACTCATTCACTGAATGTCCTCTTGCCCCCACATACAGTAAAGCCCTCACAACAGGAAAGGTTAATAGTCAAAAGAATTGAATTCATAGAGTTAAACATAATATTTGATTTATAAATGTTCCGAAACCACAATGCTGTTTTTGTTTTTACTGTCCTTTAGATTTTGCTTTGAATGAGTATCAGTTTTCGCTGTGTACATCTAAAGTGCTTCGCTATTGGAGCCTTTGGTGAAAGTTTGTTGTTAAAAGGCAGCAACTAGATCCATCCATTCACTAGCCAGAGTCTAATCTTAAGAGTCTTGCCCATGGCCCTATTTATTGTAAGAAATTGTTTAGCCAGGCTGGACATGGAGCAGCTCTATAACCTCAAATGTTGAGGGTTGCAAATTTGGCCACAGCATGGGCTACCTGCCAAGCTCCTGTCAGAACAAACAAGATGTGATCGTGATGAGATGGACGTGATAGTGCACTTCTATAAAGAAAGAAAAATTAGGCAAATTGACCACTTCCAGCACCGCTGTTAGCTGCAGCAGAAATGTGAAGGTTTCTGTAAGCATAAGGCAATAAGTGCATGATAACGGTATATATCCCAAGAGGAATACAGGAAACCTTAGAGAAACGCCAAGTCCTGTTGTCACTTCCTGGCCTTCCTGTTGATGCGTGGGAATAAGTGCTGGGAGGAGCCTCACTATGTGGAGAGTCTTGTGAGAGGGAACGGAGGCAGGGGGAGCTGAGCTCCTCAAAATCACCGCTGAAGTTAAACGAGCATTTGCCCAAGCACCTCAGAGCAGGGCCCATCTTGATGGCGGAGGCCGCTTTTTCTTTTCAGTGCTGACCATTTTTCAACACAGCTAAGAGATCGTGGAACTGTGGCTGAGTAAGAGTGAATCGCATCACAGCAGGAGACTAAATATGAGTCAGCATATTTAGATAGAGTTTCATCCATACATCCAATGCACTATGGTCAGATAGACCCTTCCCTCCCTATCTCTTCCTATCCCACCCAGCACCAACTACTCTTAACTCCATGGCCTTTTTTGTTGCCCATTAAGTACAATTAGTGCTGCCCATATGCACGTAGGGATGGGACATGGGAAACCCTCTCCCTTCAGCAGCGATCACCTGTCAACAGCTCCTCAATGGAGGGAGGGGTAGGGAATTTCAGCTGCCTTGGTTTTTCACATTGTGTGTGTGTGTGTGTGTGTGTGTGTGTGTGTGTGTGTGTGTGTGTAGTAGGTTTTGCACAGCTCTGTGTCTGTGTGTGTGTCTGTGTGTGGAGTAGGTTTTGCACAGCTCTGTGAGTACTTGTTTGTGGTAGCTGTGCCGTGTCCACAGTACAACATTTCAGAGCACTCCTCTCCGCTCCGGCTCTTCCTGCCTCCTCTTCTAAGACATGCCCTGACCCTTGGCAGGGATTGGGGGCTGAGAAAGATGTCCCATTTAGGGCTAAGCACCATCTGCTCAGCACTTTGTGTGTCTTGGTCTCTATTGTATAGACTATTTCTTTAGCCTAAACACTTTGGTACTTTCTTCAGTGAAATTGACATGCCTTTTCCATTTTAACTCATTGTTAACCATATTTAATTCATTTTGTTTCCTGTGTTTTTATGTCTTTTGTGAATTATGTTATTTACCTGAGTTTCTCATTTCATACATTTTGATTGAATATTGGTCAAGTTGTCATAAAAACTCAAGCAAGCCAGGTGTGCTGGCGCATACCTTTAATCCCAGCACTCCGGAGGCAGAGGCAAGTGGCCAGCCTGGTCTACAAAGATAGTTTCAGAACAGCCAGAGCTGTTACACAGAGAAACCCTGTCTAAAAAGAAACAAACGAACAAACAAGAAAATACTCAAGTAAATTTTTGTTTTCCATCTGTGAAATCTAGGAATCGGATTGTAACAGTAAATCACTTGATAATCAAGGAAATCAGAACTTCGAGCAACTGTTACCTCCCTTTTCAAAGACAGACACACTTGCAAGAAACAAGGTAAAGCATTTAGAAATTTTTTTTTAATTTCAGAAGCAGTGTGTAATTATTGCCGGAAAATGAGAAATACACACACACAAATAGAAAATTAAAATACCTGCCTCTGAATTTTTAAAAATACTCAGTTTCAGGCAGGTGGTGGTGGTGCATGCCTTTAATCCCAGCATACAGAGGCAGAGGTAGGTGAATCTTTGTGAGTTGAAGACCAGCCTGGTGTACAGAGCGAGTTACAGGACAGGCTCCAAAGCTACACACAGAGAAACCCTGACTCAAAAAACCAAAAAAACAAACAAAAAGAAAACTTGCTTTTAAGTGTCTTTGGACACCAATTGTGCTTAGCTGTGGATGTTTAAACCAGTTAACTGAAACATATTTTCTCTGTTTCTTAAAAAATCATTTTCCATGTAATGATCCATGTAATAAATATTTCTACATGTTACATAATCCAAGTTATCCTAAAATTTTTTACCCTAGAATTTTTAATTAAATTGTGAGAGTGAAGTCCATGGTGATAGACTATTCATTCCTGGGGTGAGAATGATTTGCTATGTGTTGCCAAAATACCTGCTAATGCCACTGACTGAGAGTAAGGCCACTACCACAGTGTAAAGCCAAATTTGAAGCAAGCTTTAATTAAATTCTGACCAGGACCATCTCTGGGTTTCCAGAAGATGGTCCAGAATCAAGTATTCAAGGCCTTAAAGGAAAACCCATAATTCAATTCATTTCCCATCAGGTCCAGTTGGGGGCAAGTATCCGCCCACATGTGATTAATTGTATCTGGTGCAGATGGATCAAGCAAATCTGTTTAGGGGAGTGAAAACATGTGACTTGTTATCTCCCAACCAGGATCCTCCAGCATTTCTGGAACTGTCTGCCCTTGGGCGAGGGGCTTGCAGATCAGAGGGATTTTCATTTCATGGATCTCTAAGACATAGTAATTAAAACTTAAAATGCAGCCGGGCTGTGGTGGCGCACGCCTTTAGTCCCAGCACTCGGGAGGCAGAGGCAGGCAGATCTCTTTGAGTTTGAGACCAGCCTGATCTACGAGAGCTAGTTCCAGAACAGCCTCCAAAGCCACAGAGAAACCCTGCCTCAAAAAACCAAAAAAAGAAAAAGAAAAAAAAAATTGTAAATGTAACTTTGGCTCTCACATACTAAACATATAAAGAACACTTACGTGCTTTTAGATCAAAAGGTTAAAACTGGCATTTGGGGAGACCCACACTCCCATCCCTAACAAGCAAAATAACAGAACAACAATTCTAATTTCTCTCCAGGTACCTGGGCTGTGTAGGTCTAGTTCTACGGACTCTCTCTCTACAACCAAGATCAAGCCCCTGGTGCCTGCCAGAGTCAGTGGCCTGAGCAAGAAGCCAGGAAGTGTCCAGAAGAGAAAACACCATGATGCTGAGAACAAGCCAGGGCTGCAGATAAAGATCAGTGAACTCTGGAAAAACTTTGGGTTTAAAAAGTGAGTTTCCTGCTTCCCCTTTTGATCAGGACAAAGAGCTGTCTCCTGTAGCGCCCCCCCCCACCCCAGATCTGTGTCTGTGTTTTCATAGGAATCCATTTCTGTTGCTCACCTCCAGCCCTCTGTCCAGCTTGGAACTTCCATTCCAGACCGGAAGCCCCTTTGCCTCTCATTGTGCAGTACTGGAATAGAGTAGTTAGATGGGAGCTGAGAGGGGGTCTGCGTTGGCTAAGTGTGCACAGATGTAACCACACAAACCAGTGTTTGGGCCCCAATAATGTTTTCGGAACATGACCGGTTCCAGAAGCCGGCGTTGGGAACTGCTAAGTCAGCTTCCTATGAGACTCCCACAGTGTGGACTTAGGCAGCAGCCTAAAGACTAGAGAGGGCTTCATTAAGAGCACCTGATGCTCGTCCAAAAGACCTGAGTTTAGTTCCCACAGGCAACTCACAGCTGGCTGTAACTACGGCTTTAGGGAGAGCTATTTCCTTTGTAGCCTCTATGAGCTGCTGCTCTCACAAAGAAAAATTTTAACGTTAAATACGTTTAAAAGAGCCTTTGAGACAGCGCATCGAAGATGCTCACCTCCAAGCCTTGCTGGTCTGAGTCTGATCCCAGGCCCCAAATGCTGGAGGGAGAGAGAATCAACACCCATAAGTTGTCCTCTAAACTTCCACACGTACCCATAATGTTAAAAGGGTGCCACCAGATGTAGATTGGTGGAAAGTTGGTGACTCTGGGGCTGTGGATCTAGCTGAGTGATTGGAAACACTTGTTCTGTGAGCATGAGGGCCTGAGTGTGAATCCCGGGATCTACCTAAAAAGTCCAGGTATGGCTGCCTAACCTGTAATCCAGCATTTGGAGATGGAGACAGGCAGGTCAGATCCTGGAGCCTAGCCTCAACACCTGAGGTTGGTTCAGCAAGAGATCAGGCTGGCCTCAAACTTACAGAAATCCACCTGCCTCTGCCTTCTAAATGGTGGATTAAAGGCATGCATCACCACACCCATCTTAAACTGCTTTCCTTTTATCTTTTGGAGACTTAAGTCTCATTGTGTAGCACTGGCTGCCCTAGAACTCACTATATAGGGCAGGCTAGCCTCAACCCAGAGAGCCTCCTGCCTCTGCCTCTGATGGGATTAGATACACTCCCATCACATACACTCACTCCCGTGGCTGTCTGCTTGTTTTCACTGCCCTTGGTGAAAGGGACAAGTGGGTACTGCTGGCTGAGTGTGGCCTGCTGTCTACACTCACATTGAGTTGCTGGCAGCTTTTACAGGACTCTGCTTTGGCATTTCTTTGGTACAAATGTCAACACAGGAAGTCCAGATATTATGAAAATAATTTGATCTTACAAAGCTCCTGAGAGGCTCATCTGTTAGTGGAAATCTCCGCCACCACTCATCTTCAGGGCTCTTGGAACTTACAGAGCCCGTGTCAGAAGAAATCCAAGTTACGATAGTGTTCTTAAAGAGCTATTGGGGGAGAAAGAAAATAACTTAGTGGTGTTTAATATGTATTGAGAGGAGACAAATGTTACTGTATTATTTTCATAATTGGAGTTTTAATAGGTGTGGAATACTAGTCCGGCAGAAGGGAGTTTGTTTTAAAAAATGTAGCTCATTGTTAGTTGTTCTGTTTGTGTTCATCCTTAGCCCGTTGCCAGTAAGGAGATGGTTAAAATACACACCTTTAATCCAGCACTTGAGAGGCAGAGACAGGAGAATCCCTAAATTCAAGGCCCAGCTGGTTCCAGGTCAGCCAGGGCTACACAACACAGTCAGACTGTATTAAAAACAAATTCTTTGGTGCATTCCTGATTCTGCTACTCTGTGTGTATGTGTGTGTGTTACTAATAGACTAGCACCTTTATTGGAAGGCGATTTTGAAAGCTAAGAGGAGGCTGAAAGAAGAAAAATGCAAAACAAATTGGAAGTATTCAGAACAGAACCCTGGAGGTGCTCCATAGGGATTGACATCAATTATACAGTGAAGGGTTTATGTGCCGCTCCCCACTGTCTCCCCACTGTCTCCACTTAGGATGGTGCTTCTCTTATAGTCAGTACCTGAAAATCAAATTTGTTTTCTTGTATCTTTGCAGAGATTCTGAAAAGCTTCCGTCCTGTAAGAAGCCCCTGTCCCCAGTCAAGGATAACATCCAGCTCACTCCAGAGTCAGAAGACGAGCTCTTTAACAAGCCCGAGTGTGCGCGCGCTCAGAGAGCAATATTCCACTGAGTGAGGACCACTGCCTGCAGGAAAGCTTTACCGGTTCCAGAGATTATTACTATTGATGCCATTTTAAAAATGGAATGCATTTTGTGTATTAACTTTGTGACTTTTGCTCAGCTTTTTATATTGTCATAGAAAGCTAACAAGAAGAATAAATCTGCCTTTCACATTTCTGGGATTTCAGTGCTAAAGGGAAAGTCTGATGCTGATAACATCTAAAGGATTTTCTAATGTTAGTAGAGAATGGAAATAATAAAGAAGCTTTATAAAGAAATAAAAACATCACACACTAAAATTAACCAGAGCCAAAACTGTACAACTCAATGAACTTCAATACAGTTGAAATTGGCATTATATAAATTTTAATGTATATGTGTTTGTGCATGTGGGGAAAAGCCTGTGGAGTCCAGAAGAGAGTGCCAGATCCTCTCTAGAGTTGGAGTTACAGTACTGGGAATAAAATCCGGGTCCTCTGTAAGAGCCACTTGTGCTCTTAACTGATGTGCCATTTCTCTGCTCATCCCCACCCCACTGCCCAGGTTTTCTTTTGTGTGTTGTTTGGGTTTTTGTTTGTTTGTTTGATTTGGTGTTTCTGAAATAGTGTCTCCCTATGTGGCACTGACTGCCCTAGAACTCACTATGTAGACCAGTCTGTCCTCAAACTCACAGAAATCTCCCTGCCTCTGCCTCCCAAGTGCTGGGGTTAAAGGTGTGTCCCCATTGTCCAACTTTTATCGTTGTTAGTGGAAGAATGAACACTTCAAGACTTCATCCTAGGGAGAAGTCAGGGAACCCAGTATTTTTGGTTTGGTTTGTTTTGGTTTGGTTTTTCGAGATAAGATTTCCCTGTGTAGCCCTGGCCTTCCTGGAATTCATTCTGTAGAGCAGAATGGCCTTGAACTCAGTTTCATCTGCCTCTGCTTCCCCAAAGTGATGGGTTTAAAGGTGTGTATTACCACCGCCTGCCAGGATTTTGTTTGTTTTTTGGGTTTTGTGGTTTTTTTGTTTTTGTTTTTGTTTTTCAAGACAGGGTTTCTCTGTGGCTTTGGAGACTGTCCTGGAACTAGCTCTTGTAGACCAGGCTAGTCTCGAACTCACAGAGACCCGCCTGCCTCTGCCTCCTGAGTGCTGGGATTAAAGGCGTGCACCACCAACACACCCAGCAGGGTTTTTTTTTTTTTTTAGATTTGTTTTTATTTGAATTAGAAACAAGATGGTTTTACAATTCCAGTTCCCTCTCCCTCCCATCTTCCCCTACCACCACCACCCCAACAGGATTTTGTTTTTTAAGTGAAAAAAATAACTCCTCAACCACAATGACTATTCTAAAATGTCCACAAGGAGGCAGCACCTCCATGCTGTTTGTGCCTGAAGTATGAGTTTCTTGGAAAAGCGCCTCTATACGATGAAGCTTCATTTTCTTAATCATGTAACACAAGGATATCCATGTTCATGAAATTATTGTCCCTAATCCCAATCCAGTCCTCTAGTAGAAGATTCTTTTTTTAAAGTGAAGGTTTGTTTTCTGTGACTATAAAGATCTTACATTTTAAAACCCACAAGTGATTTGAGCATCTTTTTCCTCTAGACATACACAGGTCACCATGCCACTGTGCTCATTTAAATGCACATGCCATGATTTGATTAATTAAAAAATATTTTCTACTAAGTATTCAAATAATGCTTCATTGAATAGATCAGTACCAAATTTTGAAATAAATAGTAGTGAAAGATGATCCCACCCCCTCAAGGGGTCATGACCCACAGGTTGAGAACTACCAAGGTTACAGAGAGAAACCCTGTCTGGGGGGAAAAGAAACAGAATTCATCTTCTGGGTTAGGGGAGATCTGGAGTCCTCCCAGGCCCAGGCAGCACCAAGCCCAGACCTGACTGGGGGTCTGGCTCAGCCCAGGAGATAAAGAAGAGAGTGATAGTAGCCTGCCTTCACCTTGCTGCCTCTGCTGTTACTGTGCCATGGCCAAGGCTTCAGAGCTCTCTGGGAGAGCTTCTGGAAAGTTCTGAAACTTGCTAAGGCTGCTGGGGTCCTGGAATCCAGGTCAGGGATCAGAACATGGTTTGAAGTCTCAACTACTCCATTCATATCTCAGGTATCCCTTTCAGCTCCAACAACCCATCTTTGACTTTGTTCAGGCAGTGGCTGGAACAGCAGTGAGGGCCTGGAGCAGGAAACAGCAGGAGTCAGAGCCAGGAAGAGGTAAGTAGTGAAGTCCACAGGGGGAGAAGAGGCGCCTGGAGTGGGATGATGGTAAGCCACAGGTGTGGCCTCATGTCCTCTGCTGCACTGAGGAAGGCCCTTTCTCTGAGCTCTGGTGGTGGTCGAGCTTCCCCCCAGGGATCTGGGAGTATCCTGGGGCTGCTGGACTTTTGGGGCCCCGTTTGTCTCTGAGACCAGTGACATCTCCAAGAGGGATCATTCAACCAGCCTATTGTTTAGCATCTCCCCTTCTCTAAAAGAAAATATTTTTATTTTACATACAGTGGTGTTTTGCTTGAATGTATGTCTGTGTGAGGGTGTTGGGTTCCCTAGAACTGAAGTTCCAGACAGTTATAAGCTGCTATGTGCGTGCTGTGAATTGAACCCTGGTCTTCTGGAAGAGCAGTCAGTACTCTTAAGCACTGAGCCATCTCTCCAGCCCTTCTCTCAGCATCTTCTCAGGGGCAATGCCTGTTGTCTTTGGAGATACAGTTATCTTCTGACAGGCCAGTGCCTTCTTTAGAACATTTGTTTGTTCTGGAACTGACTTCTCTGGGTTGTGTCTCCTGCAGCAGGCCTCTCCTCCCAAATGCAGGCTTTCTCTTGGGTCAGTTTCTTGTGCACTGCAGTCTTTTGCAAAACAAGGGATTTCTCAGAGATGGGGATCTTCTGGGAAAGCATGGTCTCCTTGGGAGCTCCTTTTTCCCTTGGCTCCTGGCTCTCTCATCACTCCTCTACACAAGGGTCACACTGCTCCTGGCTCTTTGTCTGGTGAGTCAGGAGCTTCAACTCCTTCTTGGCCCCAAGAGACTGCTGTGTGGTCTGCTCAGAGCCTGAGCTGCCTGTACCTTCCAGGCTTGCAGCCTCTCCTGTATGGAGGCCTGGGCAACCTCTGCCACTGGATGCCTCTTTCTATGCCTCTATCCCTGTTATGACCTCAATATGGCTGGGTCATCTTTGGAAACTGACGTTTGTGACTTAAGCACTCTGCTTCTCCCATGTTTGAGTCAGAAGATAGGACCTGGGGTGAATAGAGAACAGGGGTGAGTGAGAGCCTTGAGTGTACCTGAGCCATTGGAGATGGGCAAGGAGGGGTGATGAACTCTGACCCTGGCCCTTTATTTACCCTTGTGTCATCACTACTCAAGGTTCACTCATATCCACTCTAGACATTGAGTTTCCAAGGTGTCACTTAACAAAGCCCCCAGGCTTCACTGAGTTACAAATCCCTGTGAACATAATGGTTCCATGTTCAGCCCCAATTAACAGAAGCTCATAGCTTATAGATAACACGTTCTGTGCAGGACATGGAGGGGGAATCAATTTGTGTGGTATCCACCAAAGAAGACTACTTGGACACGTGTTTAAGTCAATAGAGAGTCTTCATTAGCCAACTGGCCATTACACTGGGATCCCAGGGTAGTATTAAGGCTTTCTCAGGGTGAACCTGAGTTCGCAAACCCATATTCTAGGTGACACACTTCAGTTGACAGAGGTAGAGCTCCCAAAGCCACAAAGCAAGGCTAATCCATTTATAGACTTTCATAGGACTATGGACTTTGATGGATTAGGTCTTTGTTTTAGTTTTGGCAAATGGTGCTGTCTACAGCTTGAACGGTACTTCCATCATGGAGCTGTTTGTGCAAAGGTCAGAGGGCCTGCTAAGGTCTCAGGCCCTGTTACAATCAAAAGGAGTGAGTACAGACAGCCTCTGTCCCTTGTGGCCTATCAGATGAGGCTGCCTGTGAATACGGACAGCTATGAATGTATTGACTAATACAAGCTTGAAATTGTAGTTTTAAAAAGTGGCATGCAAGAGAAAGATGCTGTGTGGCAGAGTTCATGTGAAAGGTTTTCTTATTAGGTGAAAGGGGTCATAGGATGGGGAAGGGAGGAGGAGACCCGCCTCAGGGAAGGAGCGGAGGGGGAGATGAAAGAGTGAGGGACAAGGGAGGGAGGGAAATGGGAGGTGGGCAGGGCTCTTTTAAAAAAGGAAACGTAGTGAATGTGCACAGGTGGTGCTCTTAGTGGCTGCAGCTGAGGGCGTATCCTGTCAGAACTCCTAGGGCAGGCCAGTACAAATACCTGAATACTAACACAAATACTATGAGATTTCCTTTGGGTTGCTTTTCCTGTAACTCTTTTGGGTAGTTGGTAGATAACAATGACCTGGGCCAGTATCAAAAGGTTGGACACACCTGTGTGAGAGAGAAGTTTTGTCAAAGGTCACACAACTGGATTTGTGAGCTGGCTCAGTAGCCAAGGGCTCCTGCCACCAAGTCTGAGGGTCTGAGTTCCGTTCTGGAAACCCACAAGGTAAAAGGAGAGAAACGACTCGTGCAAGCTGCACTCTGACCTCCATACAGGCACGTCCGCACACATACCCACACAATAACCAAGGGAGACAAGACTCTAAATAGCTAATTAGCAGGAGAGCCAGAGGAGCTCCAGGCTGTGCGATACTATTCTATACTCTAACCAGCTGCATAGGTGTGGTTGGGACTAGGTAGCAGCTACAGGTTTGGGTCAGCCCTAGAGACACACCCTGAACAACAACAACAAAACATTTCGGGGGTCACCTTTCAGTCCATCAAGGTCTCATGGGCTCCTCCCCAGCCTCAGGATCTAGGGATGAGAAGGCAGAATGGGTGTAGTCCTCACCTGTGTGTTTTCTTTATCACTTTATATAACCCGGGGCATACTCTAGACCCAGAACTGACTGTGACATTGAACATGGTCCAGCCCTTGGGAAAACATTGGGAAAGGAAAGGCAGGTTTGTGGACACCCTTCCTAACTCCATGACTCAGATAGCCGGAGGGCCTTAAATGCATTTGCCGTTGTTATTGCTAAATTCACAGCAAATGGTCCATTATGGTCTCAAGCCTTGTTCGGCTTTGCCCGGCTCTGGAATATTGGCTGACCCAGAGAAGAGGTTTTATAGTAAATTTAAAGGGGACACTTCTTTTGTTTATTGCTTCAGACATACTTTCAGGAACTCATAAGGGTTAAAAGAACTGCTTCTAATTTTTGACAACCCTCCTTGTGGTGCATGGTGGTGCATGCCTTTAACGCCAGCACTTAAGAAGC